GATGATGATGATGATGATGATGATGATGATGATGCTGGTCTCCGGCAGGTGAGAATGGCCTGATGGCGTGTCGTGTGGATGATGCACTGATGGCCTTGCAGAAGGAGGCCAAACTGCTGCTGTTTCAGGGCTCGCAGGCATTCGACAACCTGAGCTGTTTGGAGAGACTCACTTCAGCTCACATCTCCAGTAAGATTCATTCAGCCATCCATCACTTCATCCCTGTGCTTTGCCTTTTTGACCCTTGAAACTAGAGCTCACATGTTCAGACAAGCCATGCAGACATGTTACTGTGAAGTATCTCCTCTTCAGTCAGTCTGAGCCGAGTGGAGCAGAACCAGACGATGCCGCATGAGTCCAGGCCGCAGACGTGGCATGTGATGTACGCAGACCGATACACCTGTCAGGACATGCAGATCAGCAACACACTCGCAGATATTCCCTTCCAGATCACCATGATGAACCCTGACAGTGCAGGAAACCCACTGGATCACTTCAGTGCTGAGGAGGCGGGTGAGAATTTGCGCACACACACACACAAACACTCTCCCTCTCACACACAATTTTTCACGCACATACACATACGTAGATACACTTACACACTCTCTCANACACACACACACACACACACACACACACACACACACATCACATAGACACACACACAGACACACACACACAAACTCTCTCACGAATACAAACACACTCTCTCTCACAGACAATCACCACACACATAAGTTCAATGCGATGAGCAGCTCAGTATATCGTTGTGTGTGTGTGTGTGTGTGTGTGCAGGTCTCCACAGCTTCTTCTTCCTGCTGATGGTGTCGTATTTCGTGGCGTCCTGTATCTACGCACAGCCGCTGTGGCAGACGCTGAGTAAAGGCGGCCCGATGAACAGCGTGCTGAAGGTTCTGTCTGCTGCGCTGCTGCTGCAGGGATCATCAGTGCTGCTCAACTACATACACATGGCCCGGTCAGACACACACACACACACACACACACATCACAGTCTCCATGACGACGCTGCGCTGACCAGTCTGTGTGCTTTACTCTGCAGATACGCCAGAGACGGTGTGGGGACGCCACTGACCAGGAGCCTTGCTGAACGTGAGTCTGGACCACATCATCACACCATCAGCCACAGGAAAAACAGACTATAGTGAAGTGTAGTAGTGTTTAACCACACTACATGATGTACAGTACCTACAACTGTTCCAAAAGGCTCCAGCATACTGTAGAGTAAACTGTACAGATCAACTGTAATATACTGTAGGCTTTACTGTGGTGTATTGTAGTACAATATACTCTATAGTTGAAGAAAACCACAGTGTTCCATCATTTGATTTTAATACTGTAGTTTTTGTGTTACCATAGCAACCGTAGAATTACCACAACAGATCAATTACTGACGACTGTAGTTGTGTCACCGTAGCAACTGTAGAATCACCGCAACAGATCAATTACTGACGACTGTAGTTGTTGTCACCGTAGCAACTGTAGAATCACCACAACAGATCAATTACTGACGACTGTAGTTGTGTCACCGTAGCAACTGTAGAATCACCACAACAGATCAATTACTGACGACTGTAGTTGTGTCACCGTAGCAACTGTAGAATCACCACAACAGATCAATTATTGACGACTGTAGTTGTGTCACCGTAGCAACTGTAGAATCACCGCAACAGATCAATTACTGACGACTGTAGTTGTGTCACCGTAGCAACTGTAGAATCACCGCAACAGATCAATTACTGACGACTGTAGTTGTGTCACCGTAGCAACTGTAGAATCACCACAACAGATCAATTATTGACGACTGTAGTTGTGTCACCGTAGCAACTGTAGAATTACCTCAACAGATCAATTACTGACGACTGTAGTTGTGTCACCGTAGCAACTGTAGAATTACCTCAACAGATCAATTACTGACGACTGTAGTTGTGTCACCGTAGCAACTGTAGAATCACCACAACAGATCAATTACTGACGACTGTAGTTGTGTCACCGTAGCAACTGTAGAATCACCACAACAGATCAATTACTGACGACTGTAGTTGTGTCACCGTAGCAACTGTAGAATCACCACAACAGATCAATTATTGACGACTGTAGTTGTGTCACCGTAGCAACTGTAGAATTACCTCAACAGATCAATTACTGACGACTGTAGTTGTGTCACCGTAGCAACTGTAGAATCACCACAACAGATCAATTACTGACGACTGTAGTTGTGTCACCATAGCAACTGTAGAATCACCACAACAGATCAATTACTGACGACTGTAGTTGTGTCACCGTAGCAACTGTAGAATCACCACAACAGATCAATTACTGACGACTGTAGTTGTGTCACCGTAGCAACTGTAGAATCACCACAACAGATCAATTATTGACGACTGTAGTTGTGTCACCGCAGCAACTGTAGAATCACCACAACAGATCAATTACTGACGACTGTAGTTGTGTCACCGTAGCAACTGTAGAATCACCACAACAGATCAATTACTGACGACTGTAGTTGTGTCACCGTAGCAACTGTAGAATCACCACAACAGATCAATTATTGACGACTGTAGTTGTGTCACCGTAGCAACTGTAGAATCACCTCAACAGATCAATTACTGACGACTGTAGTTGTGTCACCGTAGCAACTGTAGAATCACCACAACAGATCAATTACTGACGACTGTAGTTGTCACCGTAGCAACTGTAGAATCACCACAACAGATCAATTACTGACGACTGTAGTTGTGTCACCGTAGCAACTGTAGAATCACCACAACAGATCAATTACTGACGACTGTAGTTGTGTCACCGTAGCAACTGTAGAATCACCACAACAGATCAATTACTGACGACTGTAGTTGTCACCGTAGCAACTGTAGAATTACCTCAACAGATCAATTACTGACGACTGTAGTTGTGTCACCGTAGCAACTGTAGAATCACCACAACAGATCAATTACTGACGACTGTAGTTGTGTCACCGTAGCAACTGTAGAATCACCACAACAGATCAATTACTGACGACTGTAGTTGTGTCACCGTAGCAACTGTAGAATCACCACAACAGATCAATTACTGACGACTGTAGTTGTGTCACCGTAGCAACTATAGAATCACCACAACAGATCAATTACTGACGACTGTAGTTGTTGTTACCATAGCAACTGTATAATCACCACAACAGATGAACTCAAGTGTTGTACTATAGTATGGTTAAAATGTTACAGTATTCACTTTAAATTTCTATAGTATTTTTCCTGTCTGCAAATGTCAGCCTTAAAGGGACAGTTCATGTATTAAACGGTGTATGTGTGCTGTATGTATGTCTGTGTGGTGTGCTGTATGTGTGTGTGTGTGTGTCAGTGTGTGACACGTGTGCGCAGGTGCAGATGCTCTACATGTTGTTGAGTCTGTGTGTGGGCTGGTCTGTGGGTCGCAGCAGACGGTCTCCCAGTAAACCTCTGCAGTGGGACTCGTCTCCCACATCCACTGCGCTCGCTCTCACCGCTGCCATCACTCAGGTCAGCACACACACACACCTACTCTACACTCCAGCACACACAGCGTAATGTATAAAACATTATTTGTGTGCTGTTTTGAGCTCACACTCCACTAGAGGCAGCAGTGATTTATTTTACAGCTTGTAAAAAGTGGCAGATTAGGTCTCCTTTAATCCTGAGGAGTTTATAAAGGGTGCCTTCACACAAAATGAAAATGAAAATGATCCAGTGGTTTACTCACCCTCAAGGCATCTTAGGTGTGTGTTTCCTCTGTCATGCCAATCAAACGGTTTGTTGTCTTGGTAATGTCAAGTTTCAAGACAAAGACAGAAACAGGTTGTGATGTATTAGTTGTCATAAACAATGTCAGCTTTGCATTTAAAATGTCCTAACTGAGCAGAATGACACTCAATAACAGCATGCATGAGATCTCATTCACAATTATGTGCCGTGTCATCATTATAAAGGCTTCATGACAGTCTTACGAACACCACTTCAAGTCAAGTGTCACCAAAAAGAGTCAAAGTCACTTCATTCATTTTCCTTCAGCTGAGTCCCTTTATTCATCAGAGGTTGCCACGGCGGAATGAACCGCCAACTATTCCAGCATATGTTTTACGCAGCGGATGCCCTTCCAGCTGCAACCCATTACTGGGAAACACCCATACACACTTATTCACACACACACTCATACACTAGGGCCAGTGTAGTTGATCAGTTCCCCTATAGCGCATGTGTTTGGACTGTGGGGGAAACCGGAGCACCCGGAGGAAACCCACACCAACACGAGGAGAACATGCAAACTCTACACTGAAACACACACTGACCCAGTTGGGACTCAAACCAGCAACCTTCTTACTGTAAGGCGATTGTGCTACACACTGCACCACCGTGCCACCCAAGTAATGTTATAACTTGCTAAATATGTTGTTTTTTGAATGAGATAATGTTATGAAGCGTTGCTGTGAGTGTGTGTTGTGTCTGCAGGGGGCGCTGCTGGTCTGGCAGCAGCTGGAGGACGTGGAGCAGCACAGTTTCTCACACACTCGGCTCAGTGTGTGCAGCTGGATGCTGACGCTGCTGCGGGTGCTGCTCGCTCTGTTTCTGGCCTCGCTGCTCTATCAGAACATCTCAGCGGAGCGGAGCGCGCTCAAACGAGACTTCTACATCAGCTTCACCAAGGTAAAGCCATGACGGCAGAGAATCGTGCATTCCTGACTGCTGCTGGTCAGGAAGAGGGGCAGTGTGTCTGTTCACTGTTGATCATCAGCTGCAGTGTCAGTTTCTGGCTTTGATATGGAGTATGGTGTGTGTTTGTGTGTGTGAGATCCTTGAGCAGTTATCTTGATATGTCTGAGAAACTCAAAGTCACCCCCTCAGCTGTCAGAACACAGTAAACACAGTGTATTTCTGCACACACACACACTATAATCTGCTGTTTTACTCCACTGAACTCCATATAACACACTGAACCTCTTCAGCACAGGCCCATCTGAAGAGTTAATGCAGCACGCTGATCATCAACAGTAGACATGCAGCTTTACAATCTAGAAATGTGAATATAATGGAAGTCAATGGGGCAATATATGTGAGTGTGTGTCTGATGTATGTGTGTATGTGTGTGTGTGTGTTTCAGGGCTGTTTGCTGTGGTTTCTGTGTCACCCGGTGCTGCTTCTGTTCTCTACACTCCTCAATGAGCATCAGAAGGAGAAGGTGACCGTGATTTACTCTTCATTTCAGTTTTCAAGTCCAGCTCTGACTGTTACTGTAATACTGTGTGTGTGTGTGTGTGTGTGTGTGTGTGTTTGCGGCAGGTGCTGACCGTGGGTGTGATCTTGTGTCGCAGTATCTCAGTGGTGGTTCTGTATCGACTCTTTCTGTCCCGCAGTCTGTACTGGGAGGTTTCGTCGCTGTCGTCTGTAACGCTGCCGCTCACCATGAGCCGCCGGAGCCCGTACTGAGACACCATCAACACACACACACTCAGATCAGCGCTACACACACACACTCAGGTCCATTACAGACATTTGCATTTTAAATGTGTTTTTATTCTGTTACTGTTTAAAATATGTATTTTTGTTCAGCCAACTATCATTCTACATGAAACGCTCAGAGGTGCATCTTAATAAATAAATCAATAAAAACAGGCTATTATAGATTTGAGCATTTTAGATTAGTCTTATTCCGATACTATTACTAAAGATATACTTTAATTCAGTTCATATGTTATTTAATATGAAAGGCTTGGAAGTGCATCTTAAAAACAATAATACATGAATAGTGGATGAAAGCAGCGTATTCTAGATTTGGAAGTGCTCACTGAGGCATCGCTAAGCGGTTGTTAGGGTGTTCTAACTGCAACCCTTGGCTCATTCTGAAAACGTACCCCTGTATACATTTCTGGAGAGCACCAAATACATCCCAGGAGGTGCGTCTTTTTGCAGTTTTTGTTTTGGTGAATCCACCAGAGGGCGCTGTGTACGCTTTTTCAGATCTCAAATTTCTCTCACGAGTGCCGTTCACACCTGCTGTTCTCACGTAAATCCACCAGAGGCCGCTACTGGCTGACTGACTGACCGACTGATCGACTGACCCACCCTCCTCCTTCCCTAAACCCAACCGACAGTGTCTCGAAAAGCAATCCAGAAAAAGAAAAGCCCTGTGCTGGTTTTTACCACATTTTCACCCTGTTATTTACTTTTTTGTTTTATTCTTTGGCTTTTGTTTTTGTCATGCTTTCTGGAACCGTTCTTCACCAGACTCAAACTCCTCAACTGAGTCTCAAGTCTGCCCATGTATGTGTCGAGCCACTGAGCAACCTGGTAACAGCATATATATCTATATATATATATATCTATATCGTGAAAAGGAACAGCATCATACTGCCCGATAGCGTTCATATGTTTCTCTGGCTACATAATTTGTGATCTTCAGAAATGTACACAGGGTTACACTTTCAGAATGATCCCGTGTTGTCTAAGTGGTTGTTGGGCACGTGCTAAGGCGGTTGCTTGTGTGTTCTTAGTGGTTGAGTGGTTGCTAGTCTTTGCAGGTCAGATTTATCACCACAGAGTGCTTATTAATCCTGAAAATCATTATTTATTTTTGATAATTGTTGTTTTAGGGTGCTTTCACACTTGATTCATTTGCCTGGACTGTACCCCCTTGACATTATCACTGTGTTAGCCTTGGCTCAGTCCCGCTCACACACACACACACACACACACACACACACACACACACACACACATGAACGACCGCTATGAAAACTAAAGTTTGTTGTACGGTTGACGGTTCCCTTCCGTTATTTGGTACAATTGCATTCACACCAGTCCAAGAAGTAAACCGGACCAGAGTTTGCGCAAACCGTACCCCAGACCACCTCTATCAGGCGGACTCAGGTACGGTTCACGGGTACACACATTCACGTTTAGAAGATACGTTCCCACTAGCTAAACGTACTGTACTCTGACGTCAAACAAACCCGGGTGTGGAGGAGATATGCTAGTGTGAAAGCTCCTTTATCAGATTTTTTATTTCTGTTCTGTTAGCTTCATGGAGATTTTTATCGTGATTTTTTTTCTTTTATTTCAGTTCGTTTTTTCAGTGACTGTTGGTACTGTGCGTTCACACCGAAGGCAGCGAGAGCGTCAAAGTAGCCGGAAGTCATTTATTTTCAATGGGAGTTGGTTGCGATAAGCAGCGCGACACGTTTTCACTGGTGTGGGCGTCGAGGAGAGTTAAAATCTTTATGGTAATGAGCCATGATGCAGTTCGGCAGCAAACAGTCGGAACGTAGAAGTCCACCGCTTGAGGAGTCCAGAGAACACAGACCTGCGAACTTTGGTTCTGATCACAGTTGTTCTTGAGGGTTTGATCTTAAGGGTTTGATTATTGCGGTCGGCGGATTTTCAATTATTTACGATGCTTTCTAACAGGGACATATATTAAAAGGTTACTGGTGTGTATTAATAGTGTATATATTTAAAAACAAATCTGGAATAACTATAACCACAGTACAAAACAGTACTGCTGCTTCAGAGTAGTTCAGACATATGGACACATATTGGAGGAGTGGAGCAAACATACACGACACGCAACAACCAGATCTTCCATTGATAAATCAATTTAATTAAAAAGTGCAAGATTTTTATGCTCAAAGCATGTTTTAATGCTGGAATGTAAGGGATTTGCTGCAACGGCTCCTTTAAATACGAGGTCAATGTAGCCGATTTTGACGCTCTCTCCACCGAAGCAGTGAAGGCAGACAGCGATGTCGTCAGGGTGGCCGGAGCGAACTTTGATGCTCTCACCACATTCAGTGTGAACGCAGTTAGTTGTGAATTTTATTGTAAATATTTTCATTTTATTTCAGTTAATCAAAATGTTTTGTGATCAACAGTTTTAGTCTTTATTTTAGTTTATTTACAGCAGGAGAGACGCTGATTTCATTCATTCAATCAAAGACGAAAACAACAGATAGAACTCAGCAGATCTAACTTCATTTATCTGGTCATCTTTCTCGTAATTCTCCAGTTCACGCATAAACTGACACCTTTCAAAAATGGGCGGAGCTACCTTCAACCACTGAAACAGCTGATTGGCTGATTCGCCTCTGCAGTGAAATCAAATCATTTCATTGGTTAAGTTTCACTGCAGTGTATTTAAATATATTCAAATGAAATGCAAATAATATTTTTGTATTATTTCTATATAAATAAGACCGATCATTTTTATCTCTATGGAAGATTTATTGTTAAAATACAATGTATTTATCTCGTTTAGACCTGGGTTACATCCTCGAGCAATAAGAGAATGTGAAATATGAATATGAATGCATTTATTGGTGATTTATTTAACTTCTGCTGTTCTCCTCAAGTGCCTGAGATGACAATCAATCACTGATGCGGAGATGGGTTATTATTGATCCTGTTTACTGGATCTGCAACTAGAGCATGTGTGCTGAAGTCCAGACTGTATTGTATTTATGATTATGTTATTAAACGTCATGCACACCCTCTGTATATGTGTCAGTGGCCTGATTACTTTAATCTGCATCCGGCTGATCATTTAGCATCTCCAGCAGACAGCTATTATTTTAAAAAAATAAAATAAATATTACTTATTCACAATTCTATCATGTTTGTATGTGTATTTAGGGATATTTTTGAACTTAAAGACTCCCACTAGCTCGTCTCAGCTTCAATTATCAGCCTGTTATTATAAAATTGTCAGCATATTATTATTATTATTAATATTATTAATAATAAAATAAATTATCAGCTTATTATTATTACGTTATCAAATTATTATTATTATTATTCAATTATCAGCTTATTTTTTATAATTATTAATATAATTATTAATAATAATAATAATATTAATATTAAATTATCAGCTTATTATTATTACGTTATCAGATTATTATTATTATTATTCAATTATCAGCTTATTTTTATAATTATTAATATAATAATTATTATTAATATTATTAATATTAATATTCAATTATCAGCTTATTATTACGTTATCAGATTATTATTATTATTCAATTACCGACTTATTTTTATTATTATTCAATTATCAGCTTATTAATCAATTATCAGTGTATTAATAATATTATTATTATTAATATTATTATTAATATTCAATAATCAGCTTATTATTATTACGTTATCAGATTTTTATTATTATTCAATTATCAGCTTATTATTCAATTATCAGCGTATTATTATAATTATTATTATTATTGAATTATCAGCCTATTAATAATCAATTATCAGCATATTATTATTATTATTAATAAATGATCAGCGTATTATTATTCAATTATCAGCGTATTATTATTTTATTATTAGCCAGCTTATTTGTTATTATTCAATTATCAAATTTTTATTATTCAATTATCAGCGTATTATTATTTTATTATTAGCCAGCTTATTTGTTATTATTCAATTATCAAATTTTTATTATTCAATTATCAGCTTATTATTATTATTTATCAGATTTTTTATTATTTAATTATCTGCTTATTATTATTATTATTATTATTATTTTATTCAATTATCAGCTTATTATTTAATAAAATAAGCTTAATTTTCATATTTTTGTGCGTTTACTAATGTTTATATGAAACATCAATGTTTTGTGTTATTTGTAGTTTCGGTGATGAAAAAGCACATTTAGAGCTCTTTTTTAAGGATCTTAGCACAAAGTCTAAAGCGTTTGGTGCATGTTTACTAAGAGCGTGTCCAAATCCAAATCCAAGTCCAAATTTTGCTTTAATATAAAAGGGGAAATACTCTGTGAACCAGGCGTGAGCAACCAAGTGTTGAGCATATTCTGTTAATATTCAGCAGAAAAACAAAAGCGAGAAGACGGTACTACAGAATGAGAATTTTCCATTAAAGTTAATGTCCAAACACGTCAGTATAGTAGTTCACATTGTTGTCGCAGATGAAATATAACATGGAAAATGCGATTTAAATATTTTCTAGTGGGTTAGATATTAATTCATAGTCATTCAAGCAACTTTACCGAAGCCTCTTTACTTGGTTGGTCTCTCTGCGTCAGCCACGTTTGTAGTTTGTTTACACTTTTAACATGAGCTTAGTTCTAATGGAATTCACATCTAACACACCATGTACTGTGTTCAGTATCAGCGGTTAGAGTATGAACGCTTCTACAATACATTTCTAACAGAAATAGCACAGTAATTTCCACTAAATAGAATAATAATAGCATTCGGGAAGCTTTGGTGTACTCTTTTCAACATACTACAGTTTGGGACACACTCATTCTATTTTCAGTACTATTTAGGAGGGATAGTCTGTGAATTGGGACGCAGCATCTGTTATTGTCAACTCTGTTATGGTTAGAAAAGTTAATCATTTAAACAACAATTACTAACAGAATCAAATGTTCACTATCAGTTTGCACTAATAATATATGCAGTTAACTGTAAATTATACATTTGTCCTATATTAATCCAGTTTAAGGAAACAGAATGGAAAATAGCTCAAATGTTCCCGCAATTCTACAATAACTGATATGCTAATAAGATCACTGCGGAGAGGGCGAGGATAACATTATGACACAATGATGATTGTGAAGCGGTTCATCATCTGTGTGTCATAACATACTGTAAGCAATCATCAGATATTTATTTCACAACGTCCTGCTGAATTCTGCACCATTCATTCATTCATTCATTCATTCCAATGAGTTAAGTATCAGTGAATTTCATAAAAACAAACTGTTCATTGATTTATGATTCATCAATATACATTTGTACAGAACCCTTCACAATAAGGTTCAATTTTGGTTCAATGTTTTAACTATACTATTAAACATGAACTAATAAAAACAAATATTTCATGATTCATCTTAATTTTAATTTATAAACATCCTAACACATCTTCACTTGCATCAGTTAATGTTATTTAATGCACTAGTTGTTGAATGTAACCAATATGAGTAAATCTTTCACAAACATACTGCTGCTTATGCAATAACTAGTGGGTTGTCAAGTGTTTACACCAGTAAATTATTATATATTATTATAATGAATATATTCTTTCTTAATTGTTTATTTAAATAAATGATATATCTATACCTTTTGCTTTATTAATCAGTCCATTCATCAGCAAATACAGCTACACAAATATAAATAAATGGCAAATAATAATATTAATAATAATAATAAGAAGAAGAAGAATACAGGTTTTTAATGGTGCTTAATACATGTTACTGTACTGTAAAACTCAATATAACCATCACAAAAAATGCAACATAATGAATAGTTAGTAAGGTAGTAGTTGGGTTTTGGTTTTGTGTAGGTTCATTAATATAAACTAAGATCACAGCTGCTAATAAACAGTTAATATCTTATTAATAGACAGGTAATAAGCCAGTAGTTTAAGGGTCAGTTCACCCAAAAACTCAAAAATCTGTCATCATTTACTCAGCCTTTACTCTTTACAAACATTAATGAGCTTCTTTCTTATGTTGAACACAAAAGAAGATATTCTGAAGAATGCTGGAACCATTAACTTCCATAGCTGAATAAACAAATACTATGGAAGTCAGTGGTTACAGGTTTTCAGCATTCTTCAAAATATCTTCTTTTGTGTTCAACATCTCTGCAGAAAAAACTCTGAGGTTTTCAAACTATTGGGAGAGAGAATAGCCACTTTCACTTTTGTGTGAACTAACCCTTAATAGTGTGATTTGTGACTTAAACTAAAGTGTCCCCTACTCTGCCGCTCGTCCCCTGCAGTGGGCATTGTTAGGGTGTGTAATAATCAAAAAGACCCCGATCTTCAGTCTGAAATCTGCTGATAACATCATCAACATTCACACGCTGACTGATGATGAAGAAGATGATGACATGAGACATGTTTCAAAACCAGTGGACACACCCATACGCACGCCACACACACACACACACACACACACACACACACACACACACACACACACACACACACACACACAAATGACACACACACGTCACCTGAAAATACACACATCAGTGTGAGCTAAAACACATACACACACACACACACACATTAAACACACACACACACACAAAA